ACCAATCAAAACCTTGCCCCACCAATCAAAACCTTGCCCCACCAATCAAAACCTTGCCCCACCAATCAAAACCTTGCCCCACCAATCAAAACCTTGCCCCACCAATCAAAACATTGCCCCACCAATCAAACCATTGCCCCAACAATCAAAACCATTGCCCCAACAATCAAAACCTTGCCTCACCAATCAAACCATTGCCCCACCAATCAAAACATTGCCCCACCAATCAAAACATTGCCCCACCAATCAAAAACATTGCCCCACCAATCAAAACATTGCCCCACCAATCAAAACATTGCCCCACCAATCAAAAACATTGCCCCACCAATCAAACCATTGCCCCACCAATCAAAACCTTGCTACACATCTCTCCACTAACATCCTCCCCACCCCAAGCAAGGGGGGGGGCAGGGGCATAGCCCCCCCCCCTGCTAATTAGCATTTGCATCATAATTAGCTCACCGGTTCTGTGTTACAGTTTCATTAGTTTTATGATGTTAGTTGAGCATGGAAAGATTGGGTCGTGTTTATCCTGTCTTAACAATGGAGATTTTTCGTAATCTTGGAGCAGTAAAGCCTTGTGTGGCAGAGTGCCTTGTCCTCAGATTTATTTATGAGAGTGAAACTTCTTTTATGCAGGTGGGTACCAGCAAATTCTTAATGAATAGGGTAAATAAAGATGATCTGTGAGGTTGTGTGGGGAAGACTGGCACTGTGGGGGAGACTGGCACTCACTGTGGGGGAGACTGGCACCGTGGGGGAGACTGGCACTGTGTGCATGGGAGGGAGAGTTCCCCCCATCATAATGTGGATCTGATGAGGAGTGGCCCCATCGTGGCCCCGGACTGATTAGAATGAGGCACCTTACAGTGCCTTATTCATGTTCACTTCGACGACATTGGCGTTTATATTGAGTATTGTTATTATTTCCACGTTCAGAGTGCTTTATCTCTCGTGGCACTGTGATCGTGGTGCCACATGGCCCATCAGATCGTGGTGCCACATGGCCCATCAGATCGTGGTGCCACATGGCCCATCAGATCGTGGTGCTACATGGCCCATCAGATTGTGGTGCCACATGGCCCATCAGATCGCCGTGCCACATGGCCCATCAGATCGCGGTGCCACATGGCCCATCAGATCGTGGTGCTACATGGCCCATCAGGTCGCCGTGCCACATGGCCCATCAGATCGTGGTGCCACATGGCCCATCAGATCGCAGTGCCACATGGCCCATCAGATCGCAGTGCCACATGACTTTAATCATCATCATATTAGCTTTTCCGCTCACAACCCTCGTACGATCTCATTAAAACTCATCATTTCTCCGTACAAGCGCTTGATGAATTTCCGAGAATCCTAATTTTTTTTTTTTTTTTGTTTCCAGGTAAGCCAAATTGGGCAGAGTGCAAGGGGCGACGGGGCAGCAGCAGCACAGGTAATGAGTCTAACGATGGTTCAGACCGTGGTCTGGGCTCCTGGGGGGGGGAGGGGGGAGGTTTAATGGTCTCGTTAGCAAGCCTTGTTGGTTGATGAGTTGGTTCATCAGCCATTCTTGAAGCGTTGTTAGTCGTCACATACACACGGTGGCGCAGTGGTTGGGGTAGTGGTTGTTAGGTTAGGGCAGGTGTTGTATTGTGTGTGTCGACTATGGCAGGTGTTGTATTGTGTGTGTCGACTATGGCAGCTGTTGTATTGTGTGTGTGTAGACTATGGCAGCTGTTGTATTGTGTGTGTGTAGACTATGGCAGCTGTTGTATTGTGTGTGTGTAGACTATGGCAGCTGTTGTATTGTGTGTATGGACTATGGCAGGTGTTGTATTGTGTGTGTGGACTATGGCAGCTGTTGTATTGTGTGTATGGACTATGGCAGGTGTTGTATTGTGTGTGTGGACTATGGCAGCTGTTGTATTGTGTGTGTGGACTATGGCAGGTGTTGTATTGTGTGTGTGGACTATGGCAGCTGTTGTATTGTGTGTGTGTGGACTTTTTTTTTTTTTTTTTTTTTTTTATTATTTTCTACCACAGACGTGGCCACACATTTACAATGCTAACCAGCATATATACATTTTCTTCTGTCCTCCATGACCAGGGTTAGAGAAGTGTTAAACATATAGTTCAAGGGTTTATTGAACACTCAACCACAGAAGGTGATTCGGTGCTTTTAAAATGCTAAGCTAACCTACATACGTAAATACATAGATACACAGATTTACGTATGCCCTACATAAAGTATTAGATGTGTCTTTTACATAGTGTCATTAATGTACATTCACAAAGGTGAAATGTAATTCTGATCAGCTTCCATATATGCTTTATACCCATACATATACATACACACACACACACATACACATACACATACATATATACACACATACATGCATTCACATACATTTGTCTCATTTACCCTGACAGGGTGAGGTAGCTGATAAAGAAACTAGTGTGCAATTAAGCACTTAATCACTGAAGGTGATGAAGGTGCTTTTACAAGCTCAGGTTATATAGTTACATCACATACATACATTGTATGATTGATACATTACATGGTCAATTTTGGATACAAGTCCAATATATCATCAAGTGTTCCAGTACTCATATAGTAACTACAGAGTTCAGCATACCTTAGCCCAGGAGGGCGAAAGTCAGTCAGTATGGGACATTCTACAATATAATGTTCAAGAGAGTGCATGTTTTCTCTTTCACAAAGTTGACACATTGTGTACTCGACATTTGGGTTTTGAGAAAGCTGCCAGATACATCTATATCCCAGGCGTATTCTGGCCACTATAACATCACATTGCCGGGTTCTTGTTCTATTAGTCCCATATGTGAATGTCTCCTCACGATATCTATCATAATATTTAATGCTACAACTTTCAGGTCTTTGAGAATTTGTTAGGTCGGTGAGATTTTCATTAGATATTTGTTTAAGTATTCTCTTTGTCACTGCTAATGAAACACCCATATCAATTTCTACCACTGGTTTTCTGCAGGCTGACTTAGCAAGCATATCAACAGTGTCATGCCTTGAGATGCCAACATGTGATGGTATCCATAGGAATTTAATCTCAAATCTGTTTTCTTTGGCAGCTAAAACATTCATTCGAATATCACTGACTATTTTCTGGGTGTCACTACTATGTGCGTTCAATGCCAGGAGTGCACTCTGCGAGTCACAGTATATAAGTCCACTGCCTTTGTCTTTTAAAAATGTGTGGACTATGGCAGGTGTTGTATTTTGTGTGTGTAGACTATGGCAGGTGTTGTATTTTGTGTGTGTAAACTATGGCAGGTGTTGTATTTTGTGTGTGTAAACTATGGCAGGTGTTGTATTGTGTGTGTAAACTATGGCAGGTGTTGTATTGTGTGTGTAGACTATGGCAGGTGTTGTATTGTGTGTGTAGACTATGGCAGGTGTTGTATTGTGTGTGTGGACTATGGCAGCTGTTGTATTGTGTTTGTGGACTATGGCAGGTGTTGTATTGTGTGCGTAGACTATGGCAGGTGTTGTATTGTGTGTGTAGACTATGGCAGGTGTTGTATTGTGTGCGTAGACTATGGCAGCTGTTGTATTGTGTGTGTGGACTATGGCAGCTGTTTTATTGTGTGTGTGTGGACTATGGCAGGTGTTGTATTGTGTGTGTGGACTATGGCAGGTGTTGTATTGTGTGTGTGTGTGGACTATGGCAGCTGTTGTATTGTGTGTGTGTGTGGACTATGGCAGCTGTTGTATGTGTGTGTGTGTGGACTATGGCAGCTGTTGTATTGTGTGTGTGTGGACTATGGCAGCTGTTGTATTGTGTGTGTGTGTGGACTATGGCAGCTGTTGTATTGTGTGTGGGGACTATGGCAGCTGTTGTATTGTGTGTGTGGACTATGGCAGGTGTTGTATTGTGTGTGTGGACTATGGCAGGTGTTGTATTGTGTGTGTGGACTATGGCAGCTGTTGTATTGTGTGTGTGGACTATGGCAGCTGTTGTATTGTGTGTGGGGACTATGGCAGCTGTTGTATTGTGTGTGGGGACTATGGCAGCTGTTGTATTGTGTGTGTGGACTATGGCAGGTGTTGTATTGTGTGTGTGGACTATGGCAGGTGTTGTATTGTGTGTGTGGACTATGGCAGGTGTTGTATTGTGTGTGTGGACTATGGCAGGTGTTGTATTGTGTGCGTAGACTATGGCAGCTGTTGTATTGTGTGTGTGGACTATGGCAGCTGTTTTATTGTGTGTGTGTGGACTATGGCAGGTGTTGTATTGTGTGCGTAGACTATGGCAGCTGTTGTATTGTGTGTGTGGACTATGGCAGCTGTTTTATTGTGTGTGTGTGGACTATGGCAGCTGTTGTATTGAGATGTCTCAACCTGATCAGATCTGGCATTATAATGTCTGAACTACAGCACTCCGATGTATCCACCACAGCAACACTTGCAATAAGATGTATGCACCGCAGCAAGGTGTCGAGGTGCCCACAAACGCAGCCAACTGATCATCAGAGAAATTACTAATGCAGAACAACAACGAAGCCTCCGTTTAAAGTTGGACTGGTTTACCCTCGTTATTGTGTTTGTCGCCGCGGGTGTTGAGATCTGTCTGGGTTTATGGCGGGTTGGGGCAGACGGTGGGTTGGGGCAGACGGTGGGTTGGGGCAGACGGTGGGTTGGGGCAGACGGTGGGTTGGGGCAGACGGTGGGTTGGGGCAGACGGTGGGTTGGGGAAGACGGTGGGTTGGGGCAGACGGTGGGTTGGGGCAGACGGTGGGTTGGGGAAGACGGTGGGTTGGGGCAGACGGTGGGTTGGGGAAGACGGTGGGTTGGGGCAGACGGTGGGTTGGCTGGGTTTATTGGGGCTTACGAGGGGGGGGGGGGGACTGTTGTAAAATTGTGTGAGGTTCCAGCGTTGGTTTACGGGGGTCTGAAGGTGGTTATATGCACTCTGTCTATTGCCGTTTTCTTTCATATTCATCTTCATCATTTCTGCGTCATGCCCCACACGGGACAGTTAGAGGATGGAATTTTTGGAGGCTGGAATCCTATTGGTAGATGGTGGAGGTAGATCAGGAATAGGATTGGCCTCGGGAATGGCCGCTGTGGGACTCTGCTGGTAATATCCTTCCACTTTGTGGTCTCTGTTTTCTCTGTGGCTGTCTTCTGTTGGACTGTGGCTGTCTTCTGTTGGACTGTGGCTGTCTTCTGTTGGACTGTGGCTGTCTTCTGTTGGACTGTGGCTGTCTTCTGTTGGACTGTGACTGTCTTCTGTTGGACTGTGGCTGTCTTCTGTTGGACTGTGGCTGTCTTCTGTTGGACTGTGGCTGTCTTCTGTTGGACTGTGACTGTCTTCTGTTGGACTGTGGCTGTCTTCTGTTGGACTGTGGCTGTCTTCTGTTAGACTGTGGCTGTCTTCTGTTGGACTGTAGCCGTCTTCTGTTGGACTGTAGCCGTCTTCTGTTGGACTGTGACTGTCTTCTGTTGCACAGGTACCCACCGGAGTACCTTCCCTGTCACTTCTGTCTGTTGCTTCGTATTATGCACTATTCTCCTCTGACGTACCGTGTCAAAGCCTTTCTGACAGACCAAAAATATATAATACGCTCGCCTCTCTAAATCTTACCTGGTATCACATAACGCTATTAAAGTTGCAACAGGATTTCCTATCCGTGAGCCCGTGCTGGTGCTGTGGTACACAGGTCCTTCTCTCCAGATGTTCTACTAACCTCTTATGGAATAATATGCAAGTAAGATTGGCCAGTCGTTTAATGAATTCCAACAGCTTCGCTCTCTCTCTTTTTGCATATCTGCTTTGCATTGGCTATCTGCTATCGCTCTGGTAGTTCTCCAGTGACTTGTTATATATCGCAGTAAGCTGCACGCATTCGACCGCCAGAGGGTGCTGGGACTAACGTAACATTGCAAATTAGCAATTCATAACGTTGTTCCATTGTGGACACCTGGATGCTGGTTTATAACAATAACAACAGTTGATTGGGACGTGTTCAGGCATATAAACTGTTTAATAAATGTAACCAAAGCCATCAAAGATTGAGGAAAGATGTAAGTACTTGCTTAACTGCTTCGTGAATCTGGCCCCTGGAAACCTAGAATTAGCTCGTCACGCTTGTCACTCCAAGAGAATGAGTCCTGTCCTATCATTATCTTTTCCATCACTTGTAACTTTTATCTATCTCCGTATGTGGTTGTGGAGCAACTTCAGCAGCCGGGTCTTTGCGTGTTTTGCAATGTTGCATCAAAGTAATTTTTTTGGGTGGGGGGCCAGCCGCGTCCAACAGCCTGATTGACCAGTCCAGCAACGAGGAGGCCTGGTCGACGACCGTCGACCAGGCATAAACCTAACCATGAGTTAGGTTTATGCCTTTGGCCATCTCTTTGGATGAAATAATTTGTAGGCTGATTCCCCTCATTTCTCGTCGAAGAAGTTCATCATTTCCTGTTGGGACTTCACTCAGAGTTCTATTTCCCATTGTTTTCTTCAAAGTCTCATTTCCTCTTACTTTCCTCTTCGATGTGAAAGATTTCTTCCACGAGGTCTTGTCCCTAAACAGTCGGTCCCCTACACACGTAAGATACCCTAGTGTCAACACTCAGGGGAGCGCTCGTTTGTAAGGGAACCTTCGAAGGTGACATCTCTCTATGTCTGCCTCACTGAATGGGACTTGAGGTCACAGCTGTAGAGAGGAAGTCACAGTAACGTGACTAAGAACTATACACCAAACTTACACATCTGATAAAGGGGAATTATATGTATTATATAACTAAACCATCATTATCGGTTGCAGGGGGAGAATAATTATAGTTATAATAAAGGGATAAAGCACCAATTCATGTTTGAAGAGACGATGATCACCATCTCAAGATAACCTCAAGATAACGATAGTGCTAGTTAATGGGTTTAGAACATTCACAAACCATTCGGATCATTTTTAAGAGAATAAACCCACTCAACTAATTCTCGGTCTCGGAGGCCTATATTGACTTTACGTGTCATAATAGGCCTACAACCTGGTCATTGCTGGAGATCATGTGACGGAACTTACCTGAAGTGGGGCCTGACAGCTAAGTGGACAGCGCTCGGGATTCGTAGTCCTGAGGTTCCGGGTTCTATCCCCGGTGGAGGCGGAAACAAACGGGCAAAGCTTCTTTCACCCTGATGCCCCTGTTACCTAGCAGTAAATATGTACCTGGGAGTTAGACAGCGGCTACGGGCTACTTCCTGGGATGTGTAACAAAAAAGGAGGCCTGGTCGAGGACCGGGCCGCGGGGACACTAAGCCCCGAAATCATCTCAAGAAGGAAGATGGTTGTACTGGCATCATCAAGTTGTTCATCAACGTTATCATTGTGTTGTCATATAATAACTACAGCATTAGTTATCGTCGTTCGTGTTATACCTGCATCATTCTCTTCACATTTTCTCTTCAAATTACCAAATGCTTTAATCTCATGAAGAATGTCAACTCCAAAGACAAATCTTAATATCTTTAATCAGCAGATTATTGGTATGTTCTTTGATATAATTGTTAAGTAATTTCCGCATAGTTCACTGCACGTAAGGCTGCGGCAGTTCGTCCTTGGTCTCTTATTGCGTTTATCTGTGACGCATTGTGTCATATTTTTGGTAAAGTAATAATAATTTGCGTCAGAGATAATATCGTGTTGTTATGCAGTGGCATAAATATTGGTTTATATGTCACTGGGGAGTTGTGTTTGGCTAGGTGAGCCTGGCCTGGTGGTCGGTAGTGTGTGTCTCTCTCTGTCTCTCTCTCTCTCTGTCTCTCTGTCTGTCTCTCTGTCTCTCTGTCTCTCTGTCTCTCTGTCTCTCTGTCTCTGTCTCTCTGTCTCTGTCTCTCTGTCTCTGTCTCTCTGTCTCTGTCTCTCTGTCTCTCTGTCTCTCTGTCTCTCTGTCTCTCTGTCTCTCTGTCTCTCTGTCTCTCTGTCTCTCTGTCTCTCTGTCTCTCTGTCTCTCTCTCTCTCTCTCTCTCTCTCTCTCTCTCTCTCTCTCTCTCTCTCTCTCTCTCTCTCTCTCTCTCTCTCTCTCTCTCTCTCTCTCTCTCTCTCTCTCTCCCCCCCCCCTCCCTCCCTCCCTCCCCCCCTCCCCCCCCCCCCCCCCTCCCCCCCCTTTCCTTTCTTCGCTCCCTCTCCGTTACCCCACCCCCCCTCTCAACCTCCCCCAACCCTCCCCCTTTCTCCATCTCTCCCTCCTCTTGCTGTTTCTCGTTCAACACATCTCATAGTGAACTAATGTCTAATTTGCAATTACCTTTCTCGTGCATGTTTTTTCTTTTACCCTTTATACCCTCTATACCCTCTATTTCTCTATCTTCCCTGTCTTCTCTGTCCATTTGACTTTTCCACATCGCCATGTTGGTCAATTTCTTCATCTACCATTCTTCTTTACTTCCATGGGTTATTTTCTCCTGTGCATCCTGTTTACCTTCAACCTGTTCTCAGGGACGAAATACTCCCACCGGAATGGGTTGAAAACGGCTACATAATTAATACCTGGATTGTACCTGGATGGGGTTTTGAGAGTAGTTCTACTCCCCAAGCCCGGCCCTAGGCCAGGCTTGACTTGTGAGAGTTTGGTCCACCAGGCTGTTGCTTGGAGCGGTCCGCAGGGCCACATACCCACCACAGCCCGGTTGGTCCGGCACTCCTTGGAGGAATAAATCTAGTTTCCTCTTGATGATGATCACGGTTGTTCCGGCAATATTTCTTATAGTCGCTGAGAGGATGTTGAACAACCGTGGACCTCTGATGTTTATACAGTGTTCTCTGATTGTGCCTATGGCACCCCTTCTCTTCACTGGAGTGCTATTATGTACTCTCTATCCAGGGTTCTGAAACGGCTCTGGTGGACAGTACAATGACTGTACTGTACATTTGAGACACTGTAGATAACTTGTTTCCTGCTCGTTTCTGTAATGCATCAGCCAATCACGTTGAGGAGATAATTGCACTATTAGCCACGTACTGCTTTCACGTCATAGCTCAGCCTTCCGAGTATGGGACAAGTGATTGTACTCGGGCGTTATGGGACAAGTGATTGTACTCGGGCGTGATGGGACAAGTGATTGTACTCGGGCGTGATGGGACAAGTGATTGTACTCGGGCGTGATGGGACAAGGTCATCCGTGTGTGTGCCAATCAACACTCACAAGGAAGTAATACCACGTCATTCATGGTCGTCTCGACAAGGAGACAAGAGACAGTGGAACCAGATCATCACTCTGTATACAAAAGGGATCAATCAGCCTTCAAGTTACAGAGGAACGGTTCTGGATGGTTCTAGAGGTTCCTCTGTTGTCCATTGTCACCGTGTTGCCACAGCTGGCTGAGGTTACCGTGTTGCCACAGCTGGCTGAGGTTACCGTGTTGCCACAGCTGGCTGAGGTTACCGTGTTGCCACAGCTGGCTGAGGTTACCTTGTTGCCACAGCTGGCTGAGGTTACCTTGTTGCCACAGCTGGCTGAGGTTACCGTGTTGCCACAGCTGGCTGAGGTTACCGTGTTGCCACAGCTGGCTGAGGTTATCTTGTTGCCACAGCTGGCTGAGGTTATCTTGTTGCCACAGCTGGCTGAGGTTATCTTGTTGCCACAGCTGGCTGAGGTTACCGTGTTGCCACAGCTGGCTGAGGTTACCGTGTTGCCACAGCTGGCTGAGGTTATCTTGTTGCCACAGCTGGCTGAGGTTACCTTGTTGCCACAGCTGGCTGAGGTTACCTTGTTGCCACAGCTGGCTGAGGTTACCTTGTTGCCACAGCTGGCTGAGGTTACCGTGTTGCCACAGCTGGCTGAGGTTACCGTGTTGCCACAGCTGGCTGAGGTTATCTTGTTGCCACAGCTGGCTGAGGTTACCTTGTTGCCACAGCTGGCTGAGGTTACCGTGTTGCCACAGCTGGCTGAGGTTACCGTGTTGCCACAGCTGGCTGAGGTTACCGTGTTGCCACAGCTGGCTGAGGTTACCGTGTTGCCACAGCTGGCTGAGGTTACCGTGTTGCCACAGCTGGCTGAGGTTACCGTGTTGCCACAGCTGGCTGAGGTTACCGTGTTGCCACAGCTGGCTGAGGTTACCGTGTTGCCACAGCTGGCTGAGGTTACCGTGTTGCCACAGCTGGCTGAGGTTACCGTGTTGCCACAGCTGGCTGAGGTTACCGTGTTGCCACAGCTGGCTGAGGTTACCGTGTTGCCAGCTGGCAGCTGGCTGAGGTTATCTTGTTGCCACAGCTGGCTGAGGTTACCTTGTTGCCACAGCTGGCTGAGGTTACCTTGTTGCCACAGCTGGCTGAGGTTACCGTGTTGCCACAGCTGGCTGAGGTTACCGTGTTGCCACAGCTGGCTGAGGTTACCGTGTTGCCACAGCTGGCTGAGGTTATCTTGTTGCCACAGCTGGCTGAGGTTATCTTGTTGCCACAGCTGGCTGAGGTTACCGTGTTGCCACAGCTGGCTGAGGTTACCGTGTTGCCACAGCTGGCTGAGGTTACCGTGTTGCCACAGCTGGCTGAGGTTACCGTGTTGCCACAGCTGGCTGAGGTTACCGTGTTGCCACAGCTGGCTGAGGTTACCGTGTTGCCACAGCTGGCTGAGGTTACCGTGTTGCCACAGCTGGCTGAGGTTACCGTGTTGCCACAGCTGGCTGAGGTTACCGTGTTGCCACAGCTGGCTGAGGTTACCGTGTTGCCACAGCTGGCTGAGGTTACCGTGTTGCCACAGCTGGCTGAGGTTACCGTGTTGCCACAGCTGGCTGAGGTTACCGTGTTGCCACAGCTGGCTGAGGTTACCGTGTTGCCACAGCTGGCTGAGGTTACCGTGTTGCCACAGCTGGCTGAGGTTACCGTGTTGCCACAGCTGGCTGAGGTTACCGTGTTGCCACAGCTGGCTGAGGTTACCGTGTTGCCACAGCTGGCTGAGGTTACCGTGTTGCCACAGCTGGCTGAGGTTACCGTGTTGCCACAGCTGGCTGAGGTTACCGTGTTGCCACAGCTGGCTGAGGTTACCGTGTTGCCACAGCTGGCTGAGGTTACCGTGTTGCCACAGCTGGCTGAGGTTACCGGTTGCCACAGCTGGCTGAGGTTACCGTGTTGCCACAGCTGGCTGAGGTTACCGTGTTGCCACAGCTGGCTGAGGTTACCGTGTTGCCACAGCTGGCTGAGGTTACCGTGTTGCCACAGCTGGCTGAGGTTACCGTGTTGCCACAGCTGGCTGAGGTTACCGTGTTGCCACAGCTGGCTGAGGTTACCGTGTTGCCACAGCTGGCTGAGGTTACCGTGTTGCCACAGCTGGCTGAGGTTACCGTGTTGCCACAGCTGGCTGAGGTTACCGTGTTGCCACAGCTGGCTGAGGTTACCGTGTTGCCACAGCTGGCTGAGGTTACCGTGTTGCCACAGCTGGCTGAGGTTACCGTGTTGCCACAGCTGGCTGAGGTTACCGTGTTGCCACAGCTGGCTGAGGTTACCGTGTTGCCACAGCTGGCTGAGGTTACCGTGTTGCCACAGCTGGCTGAGGTTACCGTGTTGCCACAGCTGGCTGAGGTTACCGTGTTGCCACAGCTGGCTGAGGTTACCGTGTTGCCACAGCTGGCTGAGGTTACCGTGTTGCCACAGCTGGCTGCCACAGCTGGTTACCGTGTTGCCACAGCTGGCTGAGGTTACCGTGTTGCCACAGCTGGCTGAGGTTACCGTGTTGCCACAGCTGGCTGAGGTTACCGTGTTGCCACAGCTGGCTGAGGTTACCTTGTTGCCACAGCTGGCTGAGGTTACCGTGTTGCCACAGCTGGCTGAGGTTACCGTGTTGCCACAGCTGGCTGAGGTTACCGTGTTGCCACAGCTGGCTGAGGTTACCGTGTTGCCACTACGTGTAAAAGTTACAGCTCAGAGCCTCACAAAATTTCATATATTTTGTTTTTAAAATTTGTTGGTATTTGTGTACTGTAGTTTTTTTTAAATGAATCGTGTAACAAATTTTTGTGTAATATTTAAATTGGCTTCATATGTCATTAGTTTAAGTAATACGTATGCAGTCAGTGAAGCTTTCGTTTTAAAATATTTTGTATTAAATTGTTATTAAATTTACCTTGTTATTAAATACTTAAAAGACATGGATATGTTTTTAACGTTCTTGTGGCGCCTGAAGGCCCTGTTCCCGTTCTCTGTGAGATCGTATGGTGTAATACTTAACAAGAGACCTCCAAGCTTAACAAGGAACCTCCAAGCTTAACAAGGAACCTCCAAGCTTAACAAGGGATCTCCAAGCTTAACAAGGGATCATCAAGCTTAACAAGGGATCTCCAAGCTTAACAATGGACATCCAAGCTTAACAAGGGACCTCCAAACCTAACAAGGGACCTCCAAGCCTAACAAGAGACCTCCAAGCCTAACAAGAGACCTCCAAGCTTAACAAGGGACCTCCAAGCTTAACAAGGGACCTCCAAGCTTAACAAGGAACCTCCAAGCTTAACAAGGGATCTCCAAGCTTAACAAGGGACCTCCAAGCTTAACAAGGGACCTCCAAGCTTAACAATGGACATCCAAGCTTAACAAGGGACCTCCAAACCTAACAAGGGACCTCCAAACCTAACAAGGGACCTCCAAGCCTAACAAGAGACCTCCAAGCCTAACAAGAGACCTCCAAGCTTAACAAGGGACCTCCAAGCTTAACAAGGGACCTCCAAGCTTAACAAGGGACCTCCAAGCTTAACAAGGGACCTCCAAGCTTAACAAGGGACCTCCAAGCTTAACAAGGGACCTCCAAGCTTAACAAGGGATCTCCAAGCTTAACAAGGGATCATCAAGCTTAACAAGGGATCATCAAGCTTAACAAGGGATCTCCAAGCTTAACAAGGGACCTCCAAACTTAACAAGGGACCTCCAAGCCTAACAAGGGACCTCCAAGCCTAACAAGAGACCTCCAAGCCTAACAAGAGACCTCCAAGCCTAACAAGTGGCCTCCAAGCCTAACAAGGGACCTCCAAGCTTAACAAGGGACCTCCAAGCTTAACAAGGGACCTCCAAGCTTAACAAGGGACCTCCAAGCTTAACAAGGGGACCTCCAAGCTTAACAAGGGGACCTCCAAGCTTAACAAGGGGACCTCCAAGCTTAACAAGGGGACCTCCAAGCTTAACAAGGGGACCTCCAAGCTTAACAAGGGGACCTCCAAGCTTAACAAGGAACCTCCAAGCTTAACAAGGAACCTCCAAGCTTAACAAGGAACCTCCAAGCTTAACAAGGGACCTCCAGGCTTAACAAGGGACCTCCAAGCTTAACAAGGGACCTCCAGGCTTAACAAGGGACCTCCAGGCTTAACAAGGAACCTCCAAGCTTAACAAGGGGACCTCCAAGCTTAACAAGGGGACCTCCAAGCTTAA